TTATAGGTTATACTAATTTTGACTCAACTTTTGGTACAAACACTGATAATCCGGTAAAAATCAAAGCATGGATTTCAGCCGAGAATGGATGCGATCTAAATATATTAGGAATGGATTTCATTTCTCACAATTTTAAATCAATAAATTTTCCGAATTTAAACTTAGAACTAAAAAAATACCCAGATGTAAGAGTTCCTATTAGTACTATAAGAAGCAAAAGTTATCCATATCTAAGCTTTTATCAAAATGTACTTCTTGATAAAACTATAACTATTGCACCAAAATTATCCCGCGTAATTTCAATTTCTCCAGCAGGCGTAGTTTTCAAAGTAGGAACATCGTTTAGAATTGATAAGTCCTTAGAACAAAAAGGCATTAATGCAAAAAGCACTTAATGTAGGAATGAAATTAAGTCAATGCCTATCGTACTGAAAAATTCCAGAGAATCAAAATTAGATATAAACAAAGGTGTAATAGGCCAAACGTTTGAAAACATAGAAATAAAATGAACCCATTTCTTCCTGGTTTAAAATAATTATAAATATGAAGCTTTTATAACGCTTTAACTTTGTGAAATTTACCAATAGTTTTGTATACTGAGCAGTAAATCTAAATTAATCTTACTAAAAAATAAGATTACGAGTATTATCCTACAAATATACTACAATGAATATCGGTTCTGTATGACACCCACAAAGATATGCCAAAATGCATGAACACGGATTTAATTCTTAACCGAGATCGAAAACAGTCAAAAACGCTAACAATTTTGGACCATCCTCAAAATCAAATAAAGATAGAGGGATCGGAACCCAATGGCTCAGACAATAAAGTTTTTCGACTTCAACATATTTACAAAAAAAGTTGCAAAAGGCCAGGAGTTTAAAATATTAAATTTTTACGAGTCTATAATGATTTCATTTTCAGGCGGTTTTATTAACTGAAAATTCAGTATTACACTTAAGGGAATGTCAAATTACCTTACGTACAAAAACGAGAATTAATAGAGTGAAACCTTTGATGAAAGAACTAGCCAATGTAAAATTGTAATAAAATGATTCTGCCAAGTTAATTTGCACCATCGGATTCCTCTTAGGGCCCAAGTAGGGACCAAGGACATTAATTTTTATCTTTGTAGTTTTCAAGTTACAAAATGCAAACTAGAAGAAATTCATCAAAAAGGGAAATATCACCTCCTTTCTTCTCAACACATTGAGTAAAATTTTCACCAATATTCTTTATCATAAAATGGGCGAACAATGTTTTTCGACCCGACCCGCCGCAGATTTATGCCAGCATTTGTTGGTGGCTTCATGTAGCCTTTTTAAAATTATGGTACCATATTCTTCCAACAACGCAAATGCTTGTTGGTGGCTGTATGCAGCCTTTGAGACTCTTATGATTCGCTCCTCACAATTTGGCCAAAATATCAATTCGGTAGTTCAAAATCCATAACATGCAGGCATTTAAACCCTTAAAAACAACAGATTTTCAGAAGCAACACTTTGAAAATTGGACCGCATCATCTTTAAGATTGTTAACGTTAACTTTTTGCATCATAAAGTTCAGGATGACTTTCTGTACTAAAGATGTGAACATTGATTGATGCAGGGGATTAAAACCAAAGAGAAACTAATACACTTATCTTTTTGAATATTATACAGTTTGCAATTTGTCTGTTTAATTTTCCTTTTCTACGATATTTCATTTTGATTTGATTCTAATTCAAATCTTTTCTATTTTCCATCAAAAATTTAACAAAAACTGCTGGTTATGACAACCAGGTGGACATACATTTAAAATTAGGGGTTATTTAATGCCCAAATTTCCATTTTTACTTTAAGTACATAAGTTTAATATCTGAGCTTAACTCAGTGTCGTATAATGCTTTATTCCTGTGGTTAATAAACGCCATGATCGTCTTTCTTCATTTGTATTCCTGTGGTTAATAAACACCATGATCGTTTTTCTTCATTTGTTTTCCGTGGTGGGTTTGTGTGAAACCACAAGATTATATTTTCCATCTTTTATATATATATACAATTTTACACTATGTCCTTCATTGTTCAAACATTTGATAATTAGCCTTAATATCCGAATGTAATTCGGGATTTTGAATATTTTGTCATTTTATCTTGATGTTTAGCAAAATGGAATACGACCCAATTTTAAACTGGAACTGCAGAAATGCAGACCCTGCACCAGAGGAATTTAAAAGAAAGCTGCCTCTCAGGAAGAAACAACGGAAACCGGTAGCAGTTCAATCATTGTCAATGGACGACGGGTTAAATAAGAACCCTCGCAATTTTCCTAGTTTAACCCAAAGATTGGAACTGCAGAAGTGCAGAGAAACCAAGTTGGATACGGAAAATTCAAAATATATAACGAGTTTAAAGTACTCAATAAAGGAAAATTATAACAGATGGAAACTGCCATCGTTCATTGAAGTCGTCAACTCAACGACATTGGAAAAAGCGATGATGCCTATCGACTTCATAACCCAGCCAGAAGTGGTTATAAAGAACGAAAACAACTTCTGGAAATTAAAGAAGAGGGAGGAACACGGCTACATCCTCAAGGCAGGAGGCACGCAAGTCACCATCCCGTTCGAGGGAATAATTGCTTTTCCGAACAATGTAAAAAACAGACAGGAAGAAAAGGACGACATTCAACAACTTACGGAAGGAATGAGCAGGCTACGAATCAAAAACAAAATTGAAAAGAAGAAAATCGTGAAATTGCAACAAAAACTTGAGGCTTCACAAAGGAAGATAGCGATCCTCAGATCATACAACGTGGAACTAGAAGCCGGAAGGAAGCTCTAGATAAAACCTAACTTATCTTTATAACTTTTTCGTTTGATGTTCTCTTTAAATTTTATAACTATAGTATTTAACCATTAAAGTGTTTAAATTTTCACCATGGTAACTGTAAGAATCGAACAGCTTAATTTTATAAAAAAAAGGGTGAGTTGTAGTATTGCGAAATATTACACACACACAAAATACCATTGTCTTAATTGTTTATTTAATGACCCAATTCTAAATTGGAGCGTGTCATTTAAATTAAAGCCTCTTTTCACTAAATCAGATATTGACTGATTTACTCTTATTAGGACTATAAAATCTTGTTTTGAAAATCCACTCCCTTTTAAATACTTGTCCAATTTTTCTCATTTTTTTCATGCTCAATATTTTAAAAGGGCGGCGATTATTAATCTGTCCCTTTTAACTTAACTTGAAACAAACTGGATAAATATTTAGCAGTCTTGCCGGCTGCACTGAAATTCTCCTTGCTTTGATTAAGCAGAGGTGCACCTGCAATATGATGCATCAGAGAGAGTAATATGAATTTTTAATAAGACAAACTGAAGGCTGCGGTTTTCATCAAAGGGGATTAATAAGTTGAAGATATTTGATTTGAAAAAATCAAATAAAAACTAGTTGAAAATTCCCTTATTAAAAAGGGAGAACAAAGGAGCAGGTGAAAACTGAATAACCAAAGATTGAATCAGCCGCCGGTTTATGCTTATGAGCAAAAGGACTGGCCTGAAATCTTCAGTTTTTCAATTTGCTCAGTCAGCAGCAAGTCATTTCTCTTCAGTCAGATCTTTTAAAAAATAAATAATTTTTCTTTTCTGCCCTAACACTAAAATTAATCTAGCCCTTTTCATTTATAAAAAGAGAATAAATTCTCAGTTTAAGTTTGATTTGAAACATTATAAATCGAGATACTCGAGATACGCACCCCCGAGGAAGTCTGGACTACAAGTACCCAAAGGACTACGGCAAGACGATTCAGACGACCCAACCAGAAGTGCTGACTTGGACAAACATCAAGGGCAACCATACATACTAATCAGCCACCGACCTTAGTAAGAAGATAAAATATTGATGAACAAAATAAGATTAGCTCAACCTCCCCTCATAGGTATATTTCTTTAAGCTGTTCGATTCATTTATATAATCTAATAACCCAGTGCTCTGTATCTAACCAACTAATTAATTCATACCTCTTCTAACTATTGTTTCTACTCTACTTTTTGTCAAGACAATTTGACGATCTAAGGTGAGACTTATAATTTAGGATAAAATTACTAAGCATTCAACCAGCAATGATCGCTTAGTAAAACTTCAAAAAAATTTTGTCGTCGCCATTAAAAAAATGCTAGTCATACAGTTTCCATATATGGAAATTGTATGACTAGTGTTTTTTTTCAGAAAACAAAAATAAAAAAAGTCAAAGTTTTCAGTCGTAGCAGCCCAAAAAACGCTTAAATGTTTTGCCAGCAGTTGAATTGATTGATCAAAGCTTTTTTTTTTTCAAAAAAAAAATTAAAAAAAAAATTCTAATCATACAATTTCCATATATGGAAATTGTATGGGTAGCATTTTTTTCATACCATTTTTTTTCCTTTTTTATGAAGAGATACCAATTTCGATACCAAAACAACTTTAAAACACCTTTGAAATTTGATTAAACTCATTTTGCAAATTTGTATGACTAGCATTTTTCCATAGACTAAGTGTATGAAATTGTATGATTAGCATTTTCGGTCTATGGAGGTCAACCCGGGTAAATAGAGAGAATTCCAAAACGTGAGCAAAGTTTCCGTTCCTTAACTCGGGTGAAAGCTTGAACTTTTCACTTACTTATTCTGGGACTGTTCGTCATATGCAGTTTCTTAAATAAGCGAACTCCGCGGAATATAAACAGACGTCTCAGGACCCAGTCAAAGTGTCCCCAATTTCCATCGCCAATTGCCATCACAAAAGTTTAAATAGTCATCATTGCATATGAACTTCAGAAAAACGAAAACAAAAGCATTGAAAAAAGAATTTCGAAGTTGTCGTTTTAGGGGAGGGAAGGTGTTAATCTTACGTAACTTCCTACAACATGGAATAATGTTTTATACTTGGCACCATCAACACTCCTCCACGGTTTCAGTGATACCGTAAAGTGAAGTAGAATGAAATAAAGGTTTATATAATATTGGATACCTCTGGCTCTGAGTGGCAGCTCAACTCTGACGTATCCCACTTTTTCCAGAACAGTCAGTGCCTGCAGATCCTCCGGAAGGGGTTCCAGATCCATCACTGGAGCAGTCACACTCTCCTCACCCTCCCCATTCACGTGTCCCCCCAATTTTTCCGGCAAGTCTCCCCATTCTTTGTTGTTTCCGGCTGCATTCACTGCATCGGCTTCTTGGTTGTCCAGTTTGCCGACCAAATTTTCCATTTTTGACTTAATTTTTATTTTTGCTTCCAATTTAATCCTGAGCAAAACACTTGGAAATCTGCACGCAAATATTTTTTTAGTATTAAAATTCAGGTAGCTTAAGTTAGTATTACGTAAGCCGAGTATAAATTAGATCCAAGTGCCAAATTCTTCAATTTTTATCTCTGTGATTTAGACTCAGTTGTGCCAAAGTTGATGGAATTCGGACTGTTATTGGAATTTTATCAAAAAAAAATCGCGTGACTGAAAATTAACAATCGCCGCTTAATCAAACTAACGTGATTAATCAAAAAAAAAATCCAAAACTGACAAAAACATGACTTCCAATTTTTAAAAGCCGCCTTTAGAACAAGTAAATCGCCATTCAATATGAAAAAGAACTCGTTCACTTGAAAAATAAGAGCTAATTGAACTTCAAACACAAAATTTTTACTCCTGGTGGGATCTAAGGCTGTCCACAGAAAAATTAATGGAAAAAATTAAAGGGAAACTCCTCTTTAAAAGGTAAATAATGGATGGAAAATCGCAAAATGAGATAATGGGCTGTTACGGTGAATTAGAGTATTTTTGAAGCCAAGCAAATTGCTTTTATAAAGAAGAGTATGTTTCTGGATCGAAGTACAACAACGAGTATGCGGGAAAATTAAGCGCATTGAAAGTATCTTGAAATTATCTAACTTTTTCATCGAAATGAACAGCACTGAAACTGGTTAGTTGTTTGAACTTTTTTTAAAAATACGATCGGTATCTGTGGACTTTTTTGTTCCGCGAAATATTTAGTCTAGAAAAATTTCTTTACTCCTATTGGTTTTTATTGGCCTAGAAACTTCGATAAGACTGAGAATTTGAGTTACAAGTATTTATTGTTCCGACTTTCGATACGAAAGTAACGGAATATTTGTGGGTTTTTTTTCTTCAGACAAATTTCGACTTTTTAACTAGCCATTTTTGACGAAATTTTTAAAATATCATTCGAAAGATATTGTTGTCTTGAGCTTAATTTTGAAAAAATATTTCACCTGTGATCTTTTTTCGTAAAAGTATGAGGGTTTTAAGATTGCCATTTTGGCCATTTTGACCAATTTGGGACAATTAACGCGCGATATAATTCGCGCTATTAACGCGTAAGCGGAGATTTAACCCGTCTTAGAAATCGTTCCAAATTGGTTGACAGAATTTGTTACAAGGAGCGAAATCTTTTGTTTTGTACTTTATTTGGCGTGTGGGGGGATGATTTTCATAGAAAAATTTTCAAATTATAGAAAAGTTTTTCATTTTATTTTATTTCATTCAATTTTTTTAATGTTGTTTATGTTATTACTGCTCCATGAACGTTAAAAGGCAGTCGGAACTTTCAGGGCTTCGCCCTGATACGAGCAGTCTTGTTATCATTTGAATTTCAGAACTATTAAGCACAAGATCGAGTGCATAAGAAATCGATTTCTTTGACGTTTTTGAGACATCGACCATGAAACAGTCTGAAAAACGAATCAACTAACAGCAGCAACTTCCATACTTAGAACAACTAAAATGTTACAAGTTAATTAAAATTAATTTTTCATCGCTTGAATAACTAAGACTTTTTGCGATTTGATTCGGTCTAAGCTTACTTCATATCTTGAAAAGCTTGCTTAGAAAAACTCTTTTTTTTTTCAAACCAATTTGAATAATTTGAGAAATTTCATAGCTGGAATAGCTTCTTTGAAAAAATTTACTTTTCGCAAACCGATTCGGTTCATTAAATAACTTGAAACATTTCATAGCTTGAGTAGTTTGCTTAAAAAAAACTCAAATTTTCAAAACTTCGTAGCTTGAAAAACTGGTTTGGAAAAAATTTAAATTTTTAACGCACCGACTTGGTCTATAAATTAACTTGACATATTTCGAAACTTGAGTTTTTGCAAGCCAATTTGGTCTATGAAATAACTGGAAACATTTCAAAGTTCCATATCTTGAATAGCTTGCTATTCAACTTTGTCACGAAGCCACTCAATTAAAAACGTAAATTGGAAAAAATTGATAACTGGAATAGCTTGCCTAAGAAACTTGATTTTTTTCTACGAACGATTCGGTTGATGAAATAACTTGAAGTTTTTCAAAGTTTCCTTGCTTGAGTAGCTTGCCTAGAAAATTTCAAAAACATTGCACACAAATTCGTTATTTGAAACAACTTGATTTTTTTCATAGCTCAAATAGCTTCCAAAAAAGGCTTAAAAGTTTGGCAAATCGACTTGTGGTTTCAAATACCTTAAATTTTTCATTACTAGCGTTACATAATCTAAGCTTTTCGCCAACCTATTTACTTGATGAAATAAATTGACATAATAAAGTTAAGTTTCATAGTATAAATAGTGTGCTCATGAAAACTTCAATTTAAGTTATAATAATTCAGTTATTCATTAAATAACAAATGTTTTGCGAATTTTTTAAATTCAAAGCTTTAGGCGGTTTCTTAAAAGGCAAGGTTTTGTTTGATCTTTTCGAATTCATGAACCCTTCCAATTGTCTGCTGTCTATCTAAGTATCGAAAAAATTAAATCTAAGGCTATATTGTAACAAGCTCAGGTACAGTTTTCTCAGCAATTGACGCCGTAGTTTTACACGCATGCTGGGTTTAAGTTTGGGTCCAATTTCTCAAAAAAACATTATTATTTTAACTTGAACATATTCAAGCAAACTTTGATCTCATCATTTTTGTCTAATTTCGAAGCGTTTTGAAAAAAAGTTTTAAAGTTTCTAAATGATGTTCAGTGAAGTTTTTGAAATAACAAAAGAATTATATAAATCAATGTTTTTTTGAAATTTCTTAAAATTTTTGTCGCAAAAACTCGTTGGCTGTCAGACCTCATTTGTTTAAAGTGAATTCTTCGTCTCAAAGTTTTTAATAGACTGCTGTTCAGACAGAGTGCTTTTGCTTTTTCTACGCTTTCCTCAAATACTGGTGTTGGGATTTCTAATTTGATAACGCGTGGAAAACAGGAGGCATCCAAACTTATCTGGTAAGACAGATTGAAGGAGTTTCTTCGTTATGTGAAAAATTTTTTCTTAATATAAATGAAAGCAGCATAATAAAGGTGCTATCACAGCAAGGCAAGAGAACATCTGTTTTGAAGCTAGATGAACTAGAAAATAGAAATCCTAGTTTTGTTAAAGCACTTAAAAATAAATATGGGTTCTGCGATTCTATGAAAGGCTATACAGCCTGTCTTAAACTGGTCTGTTTCTGTTACTTCCTCACTTTACAGATTGAGATATTTTATTGAACGAAGTTTTTTTTTGGCGACTCAGAGCCTTGTTTTTGCGCCTAGAATTTTCATGTGTTACCACTTTTGTAGCCTTAAACGGTCAGACTGTGGTGAACCTGAAGCTAGACCAAATGAGAGCTCTTCCGCACACTTCCATGACCGGGGATTGATTATACGATCTGACAATCTCGCAGTGAACGTCTTACCACTGTGCTAAGTGCCTCTAAATAACTTAAACACGTAAAAAAACATACTGGAACCAGATCTAAACTATATTTTATGATTGGATAAATTAGATATTTTACCACTGTAAAGTATTTAATATTAACCAATCATGAGCCATCTAACTAACAACCCACTTATTTGTAAGTGCTGAAATTACTTGTAATTTCAGCACCAGAGAGATTTGAATTTAACTTAGAAATTAGTTGCCTCTCCAAGAGAACTTCAGCAGCCGCAATAAACCAGTATACCCTAGATCTATTGAGCCTAGCAGAGACTAGTTAAACAACCTGAGACTAGATAGTATAAGAGTAAGACTAGGATCGGTATTAGACTAAGAAGTTGCACGAATCTATCCGGCCGAAAATAAGATAGCGTGACAAGCAGACGGTGTACCCTATCCGAAATTACTCTATGAGTTAACCACATTGGTCCTAACTCATCTGGTGCGACCATAAGTCTCGAACAAGACCTTAATAGCTTAGAATTAACCAAAAATAGATTAGAATTTAGACAAAACATTTTCAAAATGTTATACGACGATAATTTAATCGAAATGTCTCTACGACTCAATAGATCAGAGCCAATATTCCGAACGATAATAGAACTTCCCGGAATTGGAAGAAGACCTCGAACCAGAGACGACATACGACAAAGTAGAAACTTACCATATATTTATATGATAGTACGGCAAAAGCCAACACAAACTTTTATATTTAGAATTTTATTAGCAATGAATTTAGATTTTCATTTGCAAACATAAAATCTTGAAGTCAATCTTCATGACCATTTCAGGCGCTAAACAAAATTATTATTATACAATAACGATTGATAAAAAGATCTCAGATCGTTTTCCTAAATTCTGCAGTATTATATAAAACATGTTTGGAAAATATTTATTGAAAATCAAAACAAAAATTAGTAGCATGACAATAAATTGTTAGTAATCATAAAATCATCTGTAGTCCCAGCTTCATCACCTAAACATAACAGCAATCATAAGCTCACTAATATCATTAAAAAACTAAATCTTTTTCGTAAATAAATTTAAACCATTTTAAACTTAAATTCTCTTAATTTTAAAATCAGATCATCAAGGCTTATCATTGGATCTTTATTAATTTTCTATTTCACTAAATTTAAAACCTGATCATCAAGGCCTATCCTTGGATCAAAAAGAACAATTTTGTTCTCCTTCACCCACCTAGCAAGTGTCTAACGACCTCAAACGTCGATTCACTATCCAACCCTTCCAAAAAACCCAAGACTAATAGAAATTTTTCAACAAAACTAACTATTCAAATTAGGATAAAAAGTGAAGAACTTCGGTTATTCATCCTTCACTTGAAACCTCCTCTTATCAGACCCAGGATAAATCTTAGCTTTAGTAAGTTTAAAATAGTATCTAACGAACTACTCGCGTTCTAATTATACCTGAACCTTGTGGATCGATTTACTATTCTCCAACCCTTGAACACAATCACTACCCCTAAGTAAGATTAAGTAAGTTAACACCTTAGCTTATACTAGCCACGAGAAAATAAAAAATCATTCTTCGGAATCGATATACTTTTCTCTCCAACCCTGAACAAATAGACCCAGGTTAAGCTAACCAAAAAATCGTAAGGACTAACAGTTTAATAAAGAAGAAATCATCTAACAACTTTCTGCATCCCTCATCCTAAACCTTATGTCATTCAAAAATCTAGGAAATAAACAAACAATTGTTTTACACAACTGTGAAATAGATAACAAAAAATACGACCTGGTAATCACACCTCATACACAAACAGTTGGATATATTAGAACAAAACGACAAACAATAAAAAGAAAAATAAAAAACAAACAAAGACAAATCACACGAAAAAGATTCTCAAAAAATAGAAACGCATTTTCAGAATCAGAAGCTAGCAATTTAGATGAACTTTATAAATTAAAAGAATCAATTGATAAAAATTGTCCCATTCACGATCAATTATATTTTTCCGACTCAGAAACAACTTCAAATTCATCAAAAAGAGGAAAAAGAAGAATAAAAAAGCAATATAAACACAAACCAGTACACTTGTATAATTGGAATCAACCAATTAGACACATCGATAGTTACATATTAACAGCCATTAAACGAAAAAATGAGCCACACCCACACTCCAAGTGAAGATAGTCCAGATGACGACGATATTTACCCCTTCCTCGTAGATGCACCCGATAATAGAGGACAACACGATCTTTGCAAGAATTT